TATCTATCTATCTATCTATCTATCTATCTATCTATCTATCTATCTATCTATCTATCTATCTCAAGGCTTCAATTATACCATAGCGATCACTTTTTCAACACCTCCAACCAGCCTTCTTGTGTTGCATTCTGATTTTTAGCCATTGCCATGGCTTTCTGGAGAACACATGTTACAAGTACAGTGTGCTATTGGTAACACTCACCCCTCGACCTGAATCAGCAAAATCTATGCCTAGAGTAGACATGGCTCTGACGATTGATAAGATGGATTGAAGTATGTTGCTATATATGATTGCTTTGAACTCCAGACATTCTTCTTCTGTGTAGCCATCCTGATGGATAATTCTGCAGAAAAAAAATATCCAGGTCCTGAATATGAAATGCTACCATAGATTTTATCCCAAAGCTTTAGTACTAGTTTGTTTTTGATTTTACTCTCCGCCCGCCAAGGACTCTGTGCATTTCAACAAAGATTGGAGAGAAATCTGAGTATTGGTACCAGAGGTGATATTCAGCAGGTTCTGACCAGTTCTGGAGAATCGGTAGCGGAAATTTTGAGTAGTTCAGAGAACCGGCAAATACCACCTCTGACTGGAGATTTTACAGCATCCTTCCCCTGCCACGCCCACAGAACGGTAGTAAAAAAAATTGAATCCCACCACTGATTGGTACTTATTCACTAAGTTAAATGTTAATATCTGGTGGAGCCTGTTGTGTCTAAACTCTGATCTCCTCAGCCATTCCTCCTTAACATTCTCAACAACATAGCTTCCATTATCAACTCCTCTCCCTCTTCTCCCCACTGCTGTTTTTTATAGCAATTCATCTAGCAGGGAATTTGAGTATTTAAGTTTGTTCCAAGCTATGAGTACTGTTAGCCTAGGTCATCCAAACATCAGCTTGGCACATCAGTTTTCTGCTGTAGAAGTTCAGCAGAACTTCTGTGTTCTTGCATGAATGGGAACATACTACTTGTCTGCAACAGGTAAAAGCAGATGCACTTTTCCCCAAGAAGGTGTTATTGATAAGGCCATGTTCTTGCCCCTATGCACTCTGAAGCACTTTTTGGAATGTAAATGCCAAGTGCTTCACCACCCTAATTTTGATACTCAGTTGATGAGTCTTGTAGCAATAATTAATGCTTGCTGTGTGGATAATTGTGCACTCCATCTTCACCACAGCTTGCACTTGCCTAGAATTACACTAGTCTTAAACTTAATTTAGTTCCTACAACGTTCATTTAAAAAGACCAAGTAAAAACCACGCTAAAGGAAGAGCTACCCAAATGGTCATTTCCGTCAACTAGTCTAAAACAAGGACATCCAAACTTATGGGTCTTTTTTTAAAACCATATATGCAGGCAAGCAGTTATTGATGGCTCAGTTATGTGCTGTTGTATGAAAAGGTATTTTCTCTTGATCCTGCTCAGAATCAATTTGTGAAGCAAGCAGTTGCCACTTGTTATCCTCAGTTGATTTAACCACATGCTATTTTTATGTGTCCTAAGCCTTCCATAATCAGTTTAAGTTATTTGCCTCAGCCCAGTCCTGCTGCCAACAACCTGAAAAGTATCTATAAATGTGAACCAATGTGGAACAACATCTAATTAAAAATGATACAGCTAACTTTTGAGCTCCTGATCTCTGATCATGAAGGTACTCACTTCATCTGTTTGACAATTGTACTCTTCCCTGACTCACCAGCACCTGGAATGAAAAACAGCTTAAGGTCAGAACTACTTTGCAGACAAACAGAGGATGCTCTGAGTTAACCATGATTGCTTTCCTACTGTAGTTATTGTGAGATCACCACTGGAAATATATTCAACTACTATATTGATGAATTTGCTCCTTTAGATCAGTCATTCTATAAGGGCTTGGTTGGTTGGTTTGCTAAATCAACCATAATGTCCTTGTTCATACACAGGTCTCAATAAGCATGACTTAGTGATCTCATTCAGGTAGTCTCGTTCACAACACTATTATCATGGCTTGCCATTGTTTTTTCAAGAATACTTTTCAACTTCCCAGTCTTACAGAAGTTTAGAGATTTTCTTGTGCTCTTTCAAGTTCTAAATATGCTTCATCCACTCCTAGCATCCACGCACAGACAGCAGGCATTATAACTAAACCATACACCATGATTTGCAAAGCATGACTAGATTCATGCCTTGCACCAAAGCAAAAATAAAACAAAATCACATGATAGCTTAGTGCAACACGAAAAATTAGCCATTATGACTAGTCTACAACGTGGGGAATATAGGTGTTTTTCTGAGAAGGAAGATCAATGATCAGTGATCTCAGAAGATTCTTCTCTGATGTCCATGCTTATATGTTAAATCTTATTACAGGAGAGCAGTTATAGTCCTCGACTTTTAACCATTTGTTTAGCCACTGTTCAAATTTACAATAACATGGAAAAAGGTGAATCAGAACCAGTCACAGAATTCACCTGTTATGTGTTCAAAATTTAGGTGCTTGGCAACAAATTCTGGTTTTAGTCTCCATTGTGGTTGTAAGTCAAGGACTAGCTTTGTAGTGCTTGACCCAACTTAAAAAAGATGACATGTGAAACAATGGCTTAGCTCAAATATATTACATCATATCTACGGAATGAACTATAGTTGGCTAACCTTCTGCAATATACTGTTAACATAAACCAGTATGTTTCACACAACATTTAACTTTAAACCATAATATGTATTAATATAGCCTGTGGATCCTGTTTTAATATACTGTTCTATGCCATAATACGATTTGTTTGTTCTTGATTTAATGTAAATTCTGCCATGTGTCTTGCTCAGCAATTTATTAAAGCAAACCATTGCTTAGTAGGATGTATCCCCTGAGCCTAAAAACCTCAGTGGTCTAAATGGTAAATAAAAGGAAGCCTGCCCTTTAGTTCCACAGGCTATTTCCCATTCCCATACACGAAATGCCTCTCTTTCTTGGGCCAAATATTTTTAAAGCTGCTCTCTGTTAGGCAAGGGCCAGTCTGAACAAATAACAGATATTAAATATGCATTAGTTATTTCTATGCCACCCAGAATTATGTCAACACTGAAGCTAGTAGTGCATGCTAAAGATACAGTGAATGCACTTTTGGAATATTTTTCTCTGGGAAGACCTCTAGATCCACCCAGACATGACTGATGTGTTCTTCACTCTCTGTAAATTTGTGATGACCTTATGAAGCCATGAGCCAAGTTATACCTGTATGTTTGCTCAGGCCTAGAGCTAGCAGAGAGCATTCATGGGCCAATGCTTGAGCATAGAGAAGCATCTGCCAATTAGTGTTCAGTTGCTCTTTTCCAAGATGACCAAGAACCAAGCATCTTATTATGCCTGTACAAGTTCCTCGTGATTTAAGATCTCTCTTCACAGAAGAAAAGAGAATGACTAGTAACGCACACAGATCCTCCATTATTATGCCACACTTATTTCTGTCCATTTATTCCTTGTTTTGCCAAAAATCCCAAAGTGTGAAAAGACCAACTGTAGAAAATGGTAAACAAAGCAATGAAAGCCCTCAAAAACTTCCCAGACACCCAAAACAGGAACTTCACTGTATAGTAAGTCTGTGACCAAGACTTGAAATGGGGCTATGGCAGCATTCTGCATTTGGCACCTGTTCCAACAACTATGATGACACTAGCATATGGCTATGTCTAGAGGATTGGATGGTAAACATGAGAAAAGATAAGCTATCTGCAGATGCCCTGAAATCTCTAGGAGGTGATGATAAGGTGATGAATCTTATAGTGATTGGTTATGACTGCCTTATTCGAAACAACTGTAAGATGTGTGAACTATAACTCCCAGAATTCATTATCATCACTGGTTGGGGCATTTTGGGAATTGTAGTCCACACATCTTACAATTGTTAAGTTTAAAAAACACTGTTCTAGAAGGGGTCTTCTGGAATGGAATATTTTAAATGTGCTTACAAAAGAGGAAGGATTATACTTTAACAGCATGAAATGCCAGAAAGGAAAATCAAAATGGTTGTGGGAGTTACTGTGACACACAGTCCTTTAGAAAAAACAACAACAGTCACACTAATTATTAAGGAGGAAATTACCATGGAAATCAAATCAGATGTGGGACAACTCACTGTGAGCAGCTTCCTTATGCAACCTCATTGCCTTTCCTCTGTTAACTCTTTGTGGTAAAATCTGGAAGTGCTTTTTCAGTCTTCCCAGATGTGGGCATCAGCTGGAATTAGAGGGAATTCAGACTTCTTCTATTGGGACCGGTTTATGTGAAAGCTGGCATGAATATGGTTGGGATATAAACCTTCAAAGGTCTTTTTTAAAATCATGTAACTGGAAGTGCTCAGGTAGATTGATAATATATAGGTCAAATCTGATCATGTATTCCACAGCTTTTCAAATGATTTCTAAAGCTACCTTCATTTGTAACGATGAATTATTCATACAGCGTGCAAGCAAGAATCTTTACAGCAATGTAAAAAATGGTTTTTCTATGAAATGTGAAATGTATCTGGATGAAACATTTGCATATGTCTGTCTCCATAAAAATAATCTAGAAGGCTATCCAGTGATGATAAAAACTCATGGATTCACTGCTAGAGTTTTCAGCACTAATTTTTTCATTTCATTTTTTTTTGCCTTTTGGTGACCAAGACATTTTGTATACAAGAATAAATAGGCTTCAACCTGATATACACTTGGTTTGTATAAGTAATACCAAACTTAGTGAATTTTCTTTCTACATGGACATACAGGATATAAGATTGCACTGTAAATGTTTTTCTCTCTGTCTTTGATGATACTTACAACTAAAGTTCTGGTTTTAGTGAGGACTAATAGCCCTAAACCGAGAGAGCATTATTTTAGGTTGGTTTATTAAGCATTTTATCAAGTTGCTAGAATTTAATCATATGCACACAGATAGATTTCAGAAATGTATTTGCTTAAAATATAGTGACTCCTAGCTGCAAGACTAATTCATAAGCTATTTTTGCAAGTGCTGGCTCATATTTTTACTCCAAATCATTAGACATTTGCTTTCCAGAAGCACCAGCTTAGAATGTGTCTTCCTAAAAACACATTCTTTTTCTTTCTTAAACAAAATGTTTCTTCTGCTGCTCTTCACCAATTTAAGCAACCATTGTACCATTTCTTGATCTCATCACATTAAGCTGCTTGTTTAGTTCAAACAAGAAGCTGCTTAGAATTAGAGTTTAAGCACTTTAATTCCAGTTTCCCTGCTGTTACTGTGATGAATCCATGTTGCCAGGAGGCACATAAGAACTGATTACTCCTGCTTGCCTCCACAAGCAGCACTGCTGATCTATGTGACTTTTACCGCATGAACTGTAGTACACTTGTTTCTACAGCAATGTTATCTCACGAAGCCATGCAGCAGAAGCCAGGGTATAATATTTTTCATGCTACATACAGGAGGACACCTCACCCAATCCTCATCTCGTCATTACTGTGGTTTCCAAATCAAGTTTTAGGGTGGGCTGAACTAAACAGCAACAATAGCAACAGAGTAGGCCAGGCCTGCCTTCATTGTGACCTCCAAGTTTCCAGGAATTAAGCAGAGCACGGATTTTTACTCCAGCCATGGCTACATCTTTTGTTCATCTATTCCCTACTAGTACTATAGCCTTCATCAAATCAGTACTCTCCAGATATGTTGAATTAGAAGTTAAATTACAACCAGCTGCTGAGCAAGATTACTAGAAACAATGGGGAGTGTAGTTCAATGCATTGGGCAAGACTCCCTTCTCTCTTACAAAGTAACCCTTTCCTTGATCTAATCATAAAAAATATCCCTTTCTGCTCACATTTGTTTCTCAGTTGCTGCTAATGTGGATGTTGAACCACTAAAGTTCACACAATTGATTGCAAGACACACCTTAGCCAACAGTTTCCATGTCTGAAGTATCTTTTGTGCTACATTTTAAAGAAATTAATTTACCGGCAGATTTCTTTTAACAAATTCACTTTCTAGATCAGAGATCTCCAACCTTGGCAACTTTAAGACTTGTGGATTTCAACTCCCTGAGTTCCCCAGCCAGCTTGTTCTAGATGCATTTATGGACCCCGAGCTCTTGATTATGGCCTGCCACTGCATAACATCTGACTGGATTCATATACGTGGCAATCAAGAACTCAGAAATATGTGTATCAAAGAATACCGCATATTAAAGCTAATACTCAGATAGTTTCCACAAACAAGTCAATTTCATGGAAGCGGAAAAATGTGGCTGGAGATAAGAAAGTAGTCTCTGGCATCACATTTAAAAAAATGAAAGTTTGGGTTGGTTCCAGATTTCATAATATTCAGAAAAATCCTGTAGTTGTCACTACTAATCTGAACTCTCACCATGACTATAATGAGTAACAGTGTTCTAAGCATTTGAATCCACTTTTTTATATATATTTTTTCCAGAGAAATGGTAATGGCACGTTACCATGAAACTTCTGTGTTTTAACTCATCAATTAATGAATTAAAGAGAACGCCAAAAGGAATAAGACATGCACGACAAATAATAAGACATAGTGGTTCATGCACAAAAGAAAACAGAAGCATCTGTGTCCCAGATGTTTTGTTCCAGACATAGATAAAAAGGCAATTACTTTGTGGAAAAAAGTGTTTTGAGTTTCATTGTGGTTTAGTTATCATTCAGAGTTGTCTTCTCTCTTTTAGCTGGGGAGTTTTCTTTTGAATTCTCCTGTCCCTGGGTCAGTAAACAAGGAAGACTTGTTGCTACTGGCTTATATAGGCAGCACTCGACTTACCAGTGTAATGGAGCCTGCCCATCATGGTCATAAATTGTGATGGTTGTAAAACCAGTTAGTGATGTGACTGGCCTGATTTTTTCCCCCTTGGTGGTGATTAAGCTGCAGCAGTTGTAAAGCAGCTGCCATTGTTGTTAAGTGAAGTGCTGTGGTCGTTAAATGAACCAATGGCTTTTCCAAAATCAGAAGTAAATGCTGGTCTCCGGCAACACCATTCTTAAATGCAGTCACATGACTGTCGCAAAAAGCTGTAACATGCCCTGGTTGCCAAGCACCCAAAGTTCAGTCACATGTCCATGGATCGGAGCTCAACCATTGGCATTTTGAATCCAGGTCCTGAATAGCCTCCAGGTCTGTCGTAACTTTGAACTGGTCATAAGCTGAGGACTACCTGTACTTGTTAGGGGAAGAGGTGATCTGAGTTTAGACAGAACAGTTCCAGATCTAACTGGCCATGTGAAAGAGTGGAGACCAAACTACAGAGGAAGAAATAGGAGCCAGTCCTGTACTGGTTGCTCCTGTTGCAGTAATGGTAAACTAATTATATCTAATCGTATCTCGCTCTACATTCCCAATCTCATTTTAGTTTATTTTTACTACCAGTTTTGATTCGGTATATGATTCGGTAGATGATGAGTTGCCTTAGATAAAAAAGGGAAGGGACTATACCACCCTTCCATCCATTCCATTGCACTAACTTGTTATTAACTTCCTCATGCAGTGACCATTGGAAGTTACAATGGTGCTAAAAAAAAACAACTTTTGTGACCAATCCTCACATTTACAATGGTCACAGTGTTCCATAGTCACATGATTGTCATTTGTGTACATCACAACTGTTTTGTGACAAGCAGAATTAATACAAAAGGCTTTTTTTTGTTTAGCGTCTGCAGCTTAACAGCCAAAGGGGAAGTGGTCATGTGATTGCCCTTTGTGGTCATGTGATTTTCCACTTAGGACAGTGGCTCTTAGTGACCAAGCTGCTGATCCCAATTATGGTTGCTAAGTGAGGACTGCCTCCTGGTACTTTAAAATCAAATCTTTTTTTAAAAAAAATTAAGAATATTTCTGTTTCTAGCTCCCTGTTAAAGCCTATTTCGTTGGGAAAGCCAATCCTTCCAGTTAGCTCTCCAGTTAGCGCTCTCTCTCTCTCTCTCTCTCTCTCTCTCTCTCTCTCTCTCTCTCTCTCTCTCTCTCTCTCTCTCTCTCTCTCATGTAGATGTGTGTGCCCTGATTTTCCCAAGGTTCAGGAGTTATATAGAGTAAGGGAGCTATCCCTACTGGAATTTGAGTCTATAGCACACAATGATAGTGGTGCTTCTCACACACCTCCACCACTGAAGCAGGCACAATTGGAGCCAGAGGGTAGTGTGGTACAGGAGAACTTGAAACTGTCTTCAGCTATTGCAAGGCACAGGTCAGCAGAGGGAAGAGTACCAAGCATTCTTCAGCTTTAAGCACCTTAAATGTCCTTTCCACTCTCAGCAGCATTATAATCCTGGGTTGCTGACCAACAAAATCCTTGCAGGTTGGTTGAAGCATCCATCAGGTGGAAAGGATGGTCCAAAGACATTATGTATTAAAGCAATTCAGGATGATACAGGATGATGGATTTTGGTGCTTCTTCTTCTGGTTACTTCTGGCTACCATATCCATTCTTCAGTGGATAGATTAGGGCACTGATAATACAGGAAGTAAAATCCAACATGTTGTAAACTGCCCAGAATAGCTAGTCAGAGTTGTAGTTGCAGTTGTTATTCTCATCTCACTGCTGACATATGTTCCAGTCAACTTGAGTGAACATTTGTTACAGGTCTTTCATTGTGCACCAATAGAGATGGATGATAGTGAGGTTAGGTCTGCTGCTATGGCCATAGCGCTTCCAGTGATGTTATATTATGCAAAGTTGCTGGATAGGGCCCACAGGACAAACGAGATGACCACAGCCAGGAAGGCACAATTAAAAGCTGGCTACCTGGGCAGCCAAATCTTAAAATGTGGTGAAGATTGTTGAGACGATAGTCAGCCAGCAGCTGATAACGAAACAGATAACATTTCAGTCAGGTTCCAGACTGGGATTTAGTCCTGAGACAGCTTTGGTTGCACTTGGTTGGTGAACAGTGGCAGAACTGGGAGGGTCATGGTGCATCCATCTTTGTGCTCCTTGGATCTCTCAAGGGTTTTCAATACCATTAAACACAGAATCCTTTTAGGCTGGTTCTATAGTTAGGGGTACTGTTTTACAGTGGCTCCCTTCCTTTCTCCTGCGATGGTTGCACTTGCTGTTGGTAAGCAGGGAGAAATTGTTCCCTTAGTCCTTCATTTGTGAGGTGCTGCAATGCATGCTTCTCTCCCCTCCTTTTCAACATTTATATGACACTTCTGGGTGAGGTCATCCGCTGAATTAGGGATCAGTATCATTAGCATACTGGTGACATCCAGTTAGGTCTTTCAACCACAGGCCAGCTCAGTGAAGCTGCCGTGGTTCAGTCACGTGTCGATGGATCGGAGCTCAACCATTGGCATTTCAAATCCAGGTCCTGAATAGTCTCCAGGTCTGTCATAGCTTTGAACTGGTCATAAGCTGAGGACTACCTATACACAAGTAGGGGAAGAGGGGATCTGAGTTTAGGAGTGAAAGAGCCCATTGGACAGACAGAACAGTTCCAGATCGAACTGGCCATATGAAAGAGTGGAGACCAAACGACAAAGGAAGAAATTGGAGTCAGTCCTGTACTGGTTGCTGTGCTTGTCTGGATTGGAAGAAACCATCTCCAACTCAATCCTTCCCAGGCCAAGTAAATGTGCATGTTTGGACCACCCAGATCGGGAGATATTCCAACTTTGACCTTGGAGGGGTGACACACTCAGTGAGCAGGTGAACAGCAATGGCCAGAAAGGCTTTTGACCAGCTAGTCATCTGGTGTGCCAGTTGTTTCCTTTCCAAGATGAGTGGGCCCCTTCAGACAGTCACTTATGCTTGGGTCACTTCATAGCTTGATCATTGCAACATGCTCTAGGCCATCTGTAAGCTTCAGCTGATCCAGAGTTCAGCAATATAGGCAGTGATAGACATGCCTTGGTATGCCTATGGAGCTCCTCTGCTTCACTGCACCAGTTTCCAGTTTACTTCCTAGATGGCCTAGGTTACCTGGTTACCTGGGGGTCTCTTTGCCTCCCATAGTATCTATCTGGCCAGTTTGATTTAAAGGATGTGTGCACTCTGAATTCCATCAATTAAATAAAGCCATTTGTCTGAACTCAGAAGCATGCCTCCTCTGCAGCAGCGTCTGTCTTCCAGAATAAGATTCCTCAAAATTCAAATGAGTCCCACCTTACTGGTATTTTGAAGAGTGCTAAGGACCTGGCGCTTTCTTCAGGCATTTGGTGAGGATCTGATGCTGCTTTCTTGCTTTCCATTCTCTTCTGGGCTTGTCTTCTTTGCCACTGTCATTTTTCTGTCTTGTGCTGCTTTTTGTGCATTTTCTAAAAAATTTTATCCTTAAATATTTTCAACAATAGTAAATCAAACCAGAGTTGCTAGCAGTTGGGCAGCCTATAAATTTAATAAATCATTTATAATTTATAATAAATCATTTATTATTATTATATTTAATGTGAGTGCATTTTCAATGCCCTGTGCTTGTAGATTGCTGGTAAAATTTGGGGTGGTGGTATTTGTGTGTGTTTTAGTAAATTTTAGTAAAAAAAAATTAGTAAATTTTAGTAAATTTTTTTTAGTAAATTTTAGTAAAAAAAAATTAGTAAATTTTTGACTCCTAATGACTGCCTGGTCAAGGTCCTGCAGTTTTCTTGGGGAAAAAAAATGGAAGTGGTTTGCCAGTACCTCCTTCATAGCACAAACATTAAATTTAACAGTGGTTACATAGCAAGCTCGCTGCACATTTGAGAAGAGCCACTTGTATAGGAAAGTACTTCAGATTAATTCCTTCCTTCCTTCCTTCCTTCCTTCCTTCCTTCCTTCCTTCCTTTCTTCCTTCCTTCCTTCCTTCCTTCCTTCCTTCCCAAAGGTTTTTGGGAAGTTGACTAAAATGTATTATTATGGAAAATATTTCAGCACAAGGGAGAATTTTGCTGATTTTGAAACATAAGCTATATCTTTCCTCGCTTCTTAGCACTCCATTATCCTTCTTGGAAATACTTAATATTTTCTAACAGCTACGGTGCCACTGACCTGTGAGAAAGGATCTCTGTGACCTCTCTTTATAATCAATGGACTGCAATTATTTGTCCAACTGTTCTAGCTTCTGCCATTTACATAAATTTGCCTCAGGAAACAAAGTTTCTAATTTTTAAAATTTCTTGTTTATATCGGAATCACCCCAAACCTTAGTTCTACTGTGGTCATCAAACCACGATTAAATATTTTCCCATCTGATCTGCTGTTGCTGATACCGAGCAACTGGTGCCTTACTGTTGAAAGCTTTATGGACAGCATTTAGAATATGTGCAGGAAGAGTAGTTCTACACTAGCCTTCCCTTGTTGATCCCACCCAAGATAAGGATGCTAGGATCCATAAAAAAATGAAGAGTTAAAGGTACCCCTCATGAAGATAAATGGCCTGTTGCATTACACTTACCTAACAGGAGTAGCTTAACTGTCTTTGCCTCTTTATCTCCATCTTCTTGTAGCTTCTTTTCCAACTCCTTTGACCTCTTAGCAAGTTCCTTGTCTTCAGCACTTGCTCCACTACCCATATCACTTTCTTCTTCTACTTTGTTTGGCCCCTCCGATTCCTCCGTTTTTTCCAGGTCTTCAGATTGTTGGTCTCAGCTATTTCTATCTCCAGAGTGATAAAGAAGGTGCTTCTTAGATGTGCTGTGCTTAGAAGCGGTAGGCTGACAGATTATTTGTCCAAGACTGTTAGGAAGGTAGCATCAAGTCAAAGCATTTGTCTTGCACTGCGCTTTTTTCTCTCCTTCTCCCTCCCACTTCAAGGGTAACCCAGTTTTGTTACAATAGCTCTGAGGATATTTTATCTTATCACATGTCCTGCAAAATCCAATTATAAAAAGCCAAGATGTCCAAGATTAATGCGGGGGGGGGGGGGGGGGGGCCACGAGAGTGAGGGGGGGGGGTTGGGGGGGAGGGAATATAAAGTTATATAATGTAAGAATTTGTTAACCGCCCCCTTCCTCTTAATGCAAACCAGGGACTACCTGCCAACTGTAAAACTTTATTGGTTACACCACTTCAGCACTGAAGAATTACTTTTGAGATTTCCAAATGCCTGAGAATGCCTACTTTTTTTGGATTTGTTAGCCGGAAGGTTGACAGTAAACCAGCTCTGAGGTTTTCCCTCTCAATGCTACACAATTAAAAATTAGTTTCCCCTTTCTCCCACCCATAGAGGTCATGCTGTCCAATTAAGTATCAGTATTTTGTTTTGAGAACAGTTCATTTCTTTGTCGGACACCTGCAGCAGTGACCTTGGTGGGCTCTGCATTCTTTCTCCCCCTTCCCTCCCCCCAGTTCGTTGGCAAGTTGAATAGCGATAAATGTTCAAAGGGACCAGAAGCGGTTCAAACTTGACACTACCATTATTGACAAAAAGTACTCCTGGTTTTCTTAAATAAAGGACAATTAAGGTATGTTCTAATACTTAAAGATATCAGTTTGTGGCAAAATTATACACCAATATCCCCATGCAATCCTATAGAACTGAACAGCAGTTATCCCCAGCAGGTGCTGTATGGGAATTCTGCAGGCCACATCAGTGAAAGCATGTGTAAGTGGGTGCAGTTATCAACATTCTCTTGCTGATCTCTCCCACATAGTCAGGTTCTGACAGCATCTCTTACACTCCACTAGACAGTTGTCTCCTCCTCCTCCTCCTCCTCCTCCTCCTCCTCCTCCTCCTCCTCAGCCTGCTGCTGGAATAAGGATAGCAGCAGGAACATCTTCAGGAAAGGTTGCCATCGGGAGCTTTTCAACAGACCAGCTCAAGGACCCTGTTTTGTCATCCTGATCTGGGTGGAAAAAAAATGATCTTACCTAAAGATTCTGAGATGAACATAGACGTGATAGACAGTGATATAGGGATGGGGACTTTGGGTTTTTGTTTGCTTTGTCCTTTGCATAGGAATGGCATATGACCATTAATCCAATGGACTTCGATTTGGGATGAATCTGTCTTGCATTTCAGTGTTTCCAATTGTATCATCTGGCTGCGTAGGCTGGGATAAAGGGTGGAATTCCCCCCTTCCTCAAAGAAATATATTTCCCCTGATTTCTTCCTCGCAACATTCTTCTCTAAGAGAAACAAAATAATTCAAAAGATGTGTGATATGTGAGTTTAATCCTTAAAGGCTGACAAGAAGAATTGCACAGTCTTATTACGTTTCTCTCCATCCTGCCACTTAAGCTCTTTAAAGTGTTATCTTTGTTCAGCAAATCCTCCCACCCTCCAACCAATCCTTACATTTTGCCACAACGAATTCTTAAATGGAAGGGGAGGTGCAGTTCTAGAGGGACTCTAGATGGTTCTCTGGATCAGAGCAGGACCTCCTAGGGAGGAGGCCTTCCTAAATTTCTCAGCAGGTTGTGTGAGACATTATCCTCTGCTAGTAGGTAACATCACCAGAGTCCGATGATAATTTTTTAGCACATTTATCTGATCAATTTTCACATGAGCTATCACATGAAAAGGTGTTTGCCCTTTATTTATATTTTCTTGGAAAAGAAAATAGAAACGGAGATAATGGTAACACTCAAAAATTTATGGGGATCAAAAACTACAGATATCAATAATGATTAATATCACTCATGATGTTACCTAATTTGGGTAGTGAAATGTCTTCAAGAAAACAACCAAGCTCAGAGAGCACCAAGGACCCCTCAACTACAGATATATTTCTCTTCGGTGCCCTCAGTTTGACATTATGTATTGGTACAATACATGGGGTTGCTGAAATTCCTCCTCACAAAAAAATTCAGCCAAATCATGCTTTCTTTTCAGTTAAAAAAAATACCAAGGAATAATTTTATGTTATTTATGGGCCAAAACAAACATGATGGTGTAAGTAATCTTTATAGTTTTGTTCAAATTGATTGGCAGTGGTTGCTCTCCAGATGCACCTGGAGATGTTAGGGACCCTGAACCTATACTGTAGTCTTTACATGAAAATCTCCCATGTCAAATGCTGAGGAGAGGTTTTCCCAAGAATCATAGAGTCACAGGGGGGGAAAGGCTTATATTTTCTTTTCAATTCTAGATCTAAGTTAGCCTTAAGCTTTTCTAGCTCCCATGGCATTTCCATAGAAGGCATCCCTCACTTTAGCAATATTATCTCAATAGTGGCTGTTTTTCCAAAGAGTCACTTGTCTGCTACTTATCATACAATAAATCTCAGTTTTCAATTGGTTGTGCAGATGCCTTGGAAGGGGATCACAGATGTCTGGTAGAGATAATCATCCTATCATAATCTTGTCAAATGACACAAATTATATAATTTTGCACCAGTGAAAACCCCTGTGAACAATGCACGATGTAGCAGTCATCTCCACGAAGTTGTGGTATACCTTATATCACTTGCTCCCCTTGTTTCCCCTACATAACATTCTGCTGTCCCAGGTAACCTTTGTCTAATGAAGTCTCAGGATATGGTGACAACAGACTTGCCTGATATAAATAAAATGCTTGTTTTGTGTTGCTATTAAACATTATAAACCTGTCCATCTCTATGGAAACTCTGGTTCAATTTGTTGACCCGACTGATATTTCTTTACTGCCTTACATAGGGCAGAATACAGCCATAGCTCCTACTTTATTCTTAATTCCTTTGTTCCATGACTAAAGAAGATGCCCTCAAGGCAAGCTTGATTCCCAGCACATATCTGCAGTTCCTTAGGCAATAATAATACAGGACTGATTGGTCCTGGTTTTCTTTTGAGATTCTGTTAAAACTTTCCAGCTAGCCAACTTTGGAATTCCCTGGTGGTCTCTGATTCAGGCACTAACCAGGCCTGACTAAGCTGCCTCTCCTTGAACCAAGCCTTGATAAAATTAGTTCCAGGCAGCCTTCGTAAACAATGGAAACGGTCATTTTAGCTTTCTCAAAGGAAAACAAAAATAGCCAAAAGTTGGTTTCATAGCACACAGTAAATAATAATATGGTTTGTGTTGTTACATATGGTATGAACCCCACCAGTTATTGTTTATTCAATGGACTACTGAGTATCATACCATGGTATTAGTGTAGGGTAAACACAATCAAAGTTGGGAATTGCTGCCTCATGGCACTCTGAAAGGTCACGGAGTGAGAGCCAACAGCATCAGGGTTTTCCTGAGAAGGAATTTTTTTTTTTTTTTTGCTGGTGAAGCACTTGGGAGATAAAGACTGAAGCTCTGCAAATGCTGGGCTGGGCCTCTGATTGTTGCAAGGATAAGAATAACCACACTTGCAGTTTTGCTTCACAGCTTCCAAAGGAAGAATCTTCCTTTTACATGGAATAGTGGTTAGCGCATGCAGCATTGTTATGATCAGGAATGGGTCAGAAATTCGTCCCCTCCAAATTTGTATATGAACACACAGACACACAAACAAACAGACACACACACACACACACACACACACTTCCCAGATTTGCAACTGGAATGCACGTGATAAATGTTGTTATTCGAATGTTGAGATGTAGGTCATAATGATGACAAACGAAAGATTTTGCATCATTAACTCTGTGTCAACTTTTAGCAATCACATGATAAGCCTTCTTCAAGATCAAGACTGAGCTTTCTAATGCTGGGAAAGTAGATGAATAGCAGCAGGATTGATGGACTCAGTTACAGTGGTAATTAAGTGCACTGTTGGAAAACCTGAATAACCGGTTAAAGATAGATTGTCATGGAGAAAATCTATATGGTTGCTAAGAGTTGACACCGTCTTCATGGCACCTAATCAATCAACCAATCAATGGGAACAAGAAAGAGTTCTTTTCCACAAACAATATTTTGCACAGTAATTGTGGTTTTCTTACGGTCCTTTAATATGGCTTCCCTCAAATTGTACTTTTGCTACACAATTATATTCTGAGTACATACTACAATTCTATGGGAAAATGCAGCACTTCCAGCATTGTAGTTTTTCCCTGTGGAGGTATACATTGTTTAAATATACTGGGCAATGTTTGTGACATTCCCAACATCACTTTGTGCATCTTTATTTTAATTTTTTGCTGCCCTATTTAAAATGCTTTCCTGGCAATGTAAAAATCCCTGGCAATGCAACTGCTGTGCTGGAATGTTCATACACAGAAGAGCAATGGGGCTAATTTTTCCTCCTCTTTAAGACTATCTGTTGTGACATTTCATATGGCCATTCTTGAATTTGATGCCCATGTTGTTGTTGTTTTTAACCATCCTGGTGTCTTCTAGATGTGTTCAGAACAAGGGAAGTAGTGAATAGATGGACAGGTGGCAAATGCCACTCTTGCTGCTAGTTCAAAAGACAGTGCTAAGATGGATGAATGGAATCCTGTGCCGCATGTTACTTAATGATGTTGCTACACCAAGACTGGATGAGAAAACAGTGTGGTAGAAATGTGGAAGACCATTGTTATTCCGAGGAGTTTAATGACATATTTCGATTTGTCCTTCTCCTTCCTGTTAAGAAAAGTCTAGGAATTTAGAACTCTATTCTAAGCTAACCTATTGGTTTTTTTTTACTCTTGTTTACTGAATAAAAGAGAAAGGGGTGGGCATCGGAGGT